ACCCATCCCCTACCAATCAATCAATCAATCAATCAATCAAAAAAGAAAAAAAAAAAGCGGGAAAACCCACTTTCGCCCGCGCAACTTCGACGTGGTGGGGTGTGTGTGTGTGTTCATGTGTGTGTGTGTGTTACAGATAATCCCACGACGAACTCGTCATGCACTCCACCATTACGGTGATACGCCAGGTCCGGTCATGTCCCAATCATACCGTTTCCAACAGCCACCAAGCCAGATGTCCCCCAACAATACAGAAATGACGAAGCGATTGCATCCATGGGTATCGATTCCACATTCATTCTATTAAAATAGAAAAAAACTTAAATAAGTATACAAATCAAAATCAAATTGTAAAGTGGGCAAAGAGAGAATAGTGTTCGTACACATATTGGATGTGATAGGCAAGGTCGCGAGTAGAAATCATCAGTCATCTAACAGATGGGAAATGATGGCTGCTTGTTACCTCACCTATCACCGGGGATCAAAAAGGGATGATGCGAAAAGACTAAGAGGACAGTAGATAGAGATACGAGAGCAAATCGAGTATTGGTGACACAAATCATAGAAAGTATAGTCCCTAATGAAAACAATTGTTTGCCAACATCAAGGTATCTCGTATAGAATCATGATTATGAGAAAACAATGAAGAATGAACTAGAGCATCTGCAACAAGAATTAATTAATGGAGCCAAGCCAAGCCAGCGAGCTGCAAAGTCCGACATGGCAGAACGTTTGGGAGAAAGCAAGCGGGGGCCCAGTTTGCACTTCAAGGGATGATCCGCGCCGCAGCAGGGGTTTGACTCCCCTAAAAGCATTTTCGCCGTTGCCACTCAACCGGCTCATCAAAGGGGTTACTTTCCTGCAAAAAGCACATCCATTACACAGACAAACACAGACGGTCATTCCCCATACAACCACAGAGAGAGGAGATCCAAGGACCATATACTGCTTCTTCCGCCGCGATTTCCTCCTCAGGCTTCGGCGTTATCGGTAAGTCCTCCGCTCCGGTCGTGAAGTCCCAATCCGCCATAGATGGACAGTCAACTTGCTCCGCAGGCTTCGCTCCGTAAAAGGAATTACAACCAATCGTATACAAAACAGACTAGCAGTGTACATGCTATAACTGGTAAAAGTTCACGTATATATGGAGATGAAATCAACAGAAAAAGAGAGGAGAAAAGAAAAACAAAAACAATGAGAGAAAGAGAATAGAGAATAGTATGGGCAATCGCGAGTGATTTCGCCTTTCGGTGGGATCCGAGAGGCTGGGTTCGTCATTATCTAATGGAATTTGGTCCTATATACGTCTAGCTACGCGTATCAGTATAGACACCAAGTCCCAAAAAAAATGACTCCGCAGAGATCATCCTCAAGTGGCTTCGTCCTATGCGATGTACAGAGTAGATCCCCGTATAGTGGTTGGTAAAACAATGGGGTGGCTCTTGGGACCAGTCACTGACTAGGG